ACACACACACACACACACATGCATTTTAATTTAATTTAAATTGAGTTAACGAACAAATGCAGAATAGTAATTTGAATTTGAGAAGTAAAATTAAAATCGAATGAGAGTTGAATAAATTTATACAGCATAACTGATCTAAGTGCAGTTTTAGATGGTATGCATAATGTTTGAAATGCCATCTACAGAAATTTGTATTTATTTTAATTTGAATAAATTAGTATGGTAGTATACTGAACTTACCCTTACACTGCATTATCTAATAGGGTTAAAAAAAATTAAATGTAGCTATTTTTATTAGGAGGGTGACACTATCAATGTGGACGTGACCTGTCCTGGTGCAACACTTGCCCTAGCCATGATTTACCTGAAAACAAATAATAGGTGAGTTTCGTTTCTTCATTCACCTACTTTAGTTTCATTTCTAAATGGAAAAACCAAAGAAACACATTGTAACTTTAAGCATCAAAGTGAAGTGTTATTTGGAGTTATCAATATACTAGTATAGTATTATTTATTAATATTTTCAGTTAGGCTTTATTTTTATACTTTCAGTTTTCATTTTTAATTTTACAAATTGTATGTGCTTTTGTCATTTTTACTACTTATTATTTAAATATTTCTGTATAGCTTTAATATTAATACTTATTTTTTTCAGTTAGTTGCCAAGACAATATCACAATTTTTTTTTGTTTTTAATCTTTCATTATATTTAAATTGTATTTTATTTCAGCTTTGTCAGTTGCTGAAAATGATTTTTAATAGTTTTATTTATGATGATTTTACGGCTTTACTGCCCCTTCTGCTCACTTTTGTCTTTAATTGTTGAGCAAACCGTTTGCCTCAAATGCGCAACTTTGGTTGATGTAGAAATTGACAGGCTTCTCAAACAAACAGAGCAATATTTTGAAAGAGTGTTACGCTCTCCGGAAAGTCAACTCACAAATTAGATATAGTTGTCTGTGTGCAATAATCCAGGATAAGAGAGAATTTCCCAATAATCACACTCTTGACCTTTAAAGTAAAATCCATTATTCGTTGTGAATCATGAAAGTCTCTTTCTGTGTAAAAAAGGCCGACATCTTCCTCATCTTCAGCTCTTATGTTCAATGCAAAGCCTTTTTCGGTTCTGTCTGCTCTCTCACATTCACACCTGTCTCTCTGGTCCCCTCCAGGTCTATAGCTGATTGGTTGAAAGCCCCGGACACCATGTTTCTGCTGGACTTCATCAAGCCTGAGTTTTTGCTGCTGAGGGTGAGAGAGCGATACAGGGCTGACAGCCATCAGAAGTTCATTCGGGCCTTTGGGCTCGCAGGGACTTACACATTAACAGCTCACATTGGGTTCAGTCACACTTTTTTTACCAAGTGTTCTCATGTTTTACGATGGCTTTTCAGGCAACATATGGGGTCATTTTAGCCTGTTGTGCTTGTTAACCAACAGGAAGGTCACTTCCTTCTCAGATTCTTCTCTGGCCTTCTCTGACTGTGGAACCGTTCCAAATCCTAGAGTGCTGCCTTCGTAGACTGCGTGTTAAGACTATTCCGAAAAGTGGTATTTTATGCTGCCTTTAAAGATATATTTGTGTCCAAATTCAATAGAAGTACTGCATATCCACCTTATTTTGCAATGTGGAAATAAGCTATTTTCTCTGAATTTGTGAGAATTTCATTAGCTGCTATTGGTAGATAACTAGCAGAATAACAAAGTGCAGTAAACAGTAAAACTATTTGCGCTACAAACCAGTGTGTTTAGGATTATGATAATGAATTAAAATAATATCATCACAAATACCAGTTTGAAATATCAAGCAGCATAACAGACTGTTTGTACAGGTAAAAATTTCCAAGTCCAAGATGGTTGTTTACAAATGTAATTTATTCAGTAATAAAAAGTATCAATATGAATACTTCATTCTAATTACAAATAAATTATTTTAGCCAGTATTCTGTATGTTAAAAAAAATCCTGCCATGAGCTTAACAACACGCTTTTACCACACTCGTAAATGTTTTTTGTTTTATTTTTGCATTGAAATGTAGATAATGATTTTTTAAAATGTAAATTTTAATATAATATAGTTGAACAAACTCACTTAAACAGTTTAGTATAATTTTGCCCGAAAAAGTTTTAGAATTTTTATCATATGTGACCCTGGAGCACAAAACCTTAAGTCTTAAGTCGCTTGGGTATATTTTTAGCAATAGCCAAAAAAACATTGTATGGGTCAAAGTGATCGATTTTTCTTTTATGGCAAAAATCATTAGGATATTGAGTAAAGATCATGTTCCATGAAGATATTTTGTAAATTTCCTACCGTAAATATATCAAAACTTAATGTTTGATTAGTAATATGCATTGCTAAGAACTTCATTTGGACAACTTTAAAGGCGATTTTCTCAGTATTTAGATTTTTTTTGCACCCTCAGATTCCACATTTTCAAATAGTTGTATCTCGGCCAAATATTACAGCTTTCAGATGATGTGTAAATCTCCATTTCAAAAAATTGACCCTTATGACTGGTTTTGTGGTCCAGGGTCACATATGTTAATGTAAAAAATCTTGTGTAATATAACTTGTGTTTGTTTGTTTTTATGGGTTTTATTTTATTATTTATACTTGTATTTTTAAAATTGTTTTTGCCATGAAAATAGCCTAAGATACTGACATGGCATTAAATAAAAATATACTACTACTACTATATAGTTTATTTTTGGCCCTTCATAGTAAAAAAGTAGAGGTCAACCTGTATGTATTTTTGGATGGCCAATGATATAAAGCCGATATAGGCCTAAACACAGTATCGATATTAGATAGTAAATAAAGATGTATAACAATTTATCTAATACAAATCTGTATTTATTTTACATAATGTTTACTAAAATAATCAATACATTATTTGAAAATGAATCTACTTTAAAAAAATAATTTGAACTTGATAGATAAATCTAATGCATTTGATGTGAACGGCTCCTTAGAAGGCAACTGCCAAGTAGGCAAGCCAGCTCACTAGGTTTTGGAACAGAGCCTATGTCACACAGGACTTAACCAATAAACATGAATGCTTACAAAAGAAAGGGGGTGTACAAATATTTCCTATTTTAAAATTCAGCGTAAAATGTTTATTCATAGCAAGCTCTTTGTGTTTGGTAGCTTTGTCTTTGTTCTCTCTACAGACGCTGGCCAGATGTCTTATCATGTGGGACGAGATCTTTCCCAATGCTGATTGGGTGACCAGTAATGTGCCTCAGGTATGTTAGAGATCTAACACACTGCAGGGACTCATCCAATATTGCGTCCTGTTTCCAACTAGTTTCTCAAGGGGAAGCACATTTTTGCCTCAGGTCATGTTTTCGCTTCCTGTTCCCCTGTAAGTTCATAGGTTGGTCAAATATTTAGCAACGCTTGTGTTGCAAAACGCAGAGCTGTTTGGTCACTTCAGCTGTAGAGGTGGTGCGCAGGTCATTGAGCAAGAGAGCAGGGAGAAGAAGTGCGTCTTTTAATTGTGAAGTCATTTCACCATGCTGCATTAGAAAATCACACAGAAATGGTTAAAAACCAAGTTTCTGTTAATTTAGTTGCTTTTATGTTCTCATTTTTGCATGCAAAAAGAAAAGATCATTCACAATTCAGTATTCAAATATCGCTGACATTATCACTGATGATAATGTTTGGAATGTTTGAATACTGAAAATTCTATCAATGTAGGTCAATGGAAAATTTCTTCCTTATTTGGACATTTACGAAAACCATAAATAGATACAACTTTTAATAAAGAGGGATACAAAAAATCTTCCATATTACTGACTTCTAGCCAAAGATTATAGATTTACCAAGACAGTGCACTCTTATTACTATGATTGGAAGTAACTGCTGTGTGCACTATGGCTATTTAATTGTGAGTTACTCAAGAGGTTTTTGAGATTTCAATATTTCCCCATTCAAATAGTTAGACTTAGTCTTGTATGCTCAGAATAGCTGTTCGAAAGTGTTGCAAATATGGCCTCCAAGTGAACAGACTTTCCTTGAAAGGGACTTTGTTTCTATCATTGAGCTTACACTTAATTTGATAAGCTAAAAATAAGCTTTGCGTTTTCAGATCATCCAAGAAAACATCGGAAACCAGGAGCAGACACCCATCTCTGAGGATCTCAACATGGAGACCTTAGTGTGAGTAGCAGCTGACTCTCTATGATGTTTTGATCGTGTGATTTCTAGGAGATCCTCATACCCACGGATTGTTTCTCGCCCTTATGGAGGTGTTTTCTATTATGACTTTCCAATGAGTTTTTGTTCCTTTGATGACTGGATGAGTGAAATAAGGCAGACATTTGTCATTGTTTCCACAGTCAAGCTCATGACTATATAATTGCTGGAGGCTGCCTGGCCGTGGGATTCCGGTTTGCTGGGTCTGCAAATTCAGATGCTTTTGACTGCTTAGTAAGTGGACGTTTACTTCCCACTTACAGATTTGAGATCTTTCTGAAAGTTCTGTGAATATTCTTAATATTGTCTTTCTCCATCAGTACAAATTTGCCAGAAACTTCATGCAGTGTCTGACAACCTCCACGGCTACAGTGGTAAGCATTTGTTTGCATTGAAGGCGAACATCATAATATTATGTAATCACAAATATTTATTCACACAATGTCCGGTCTCCTCCAGACAGGGCAGTATAACCTGCAGACGTGTTTAAGCATGGTCCTCCTGGCGGTTTCAATGGTGATGGCTGGTTCAGGGAACTTGAAAGTGTTGCAGCTGTGCCGATTCCTCCACAAACGCACCTTTGGCGAGATGAACTATGGCTTCCACATGGCCCATCACATGGCTCTGGGCCTGCTCTTCCTGGGTGGAGGGAGGTTAGTTGACAAATGTATAAAAGAGTCCATCTTTACCTATACTACCCAGCACCTCAGTTCACTTCATAGACATTATTATGCATTTAATTACTTGTGTTTGCTAAGCATCAGTATTACTATTGCCCATTCTTAGTGTATTAAACAACCCTATGTCCCTAAGTATAGAGTGCTACAGTGATGATATATTTTTGTAGTCCATCTGGAAGTTAGCATCACCTTGCGTCCCTCGACAAAAAGCCAGTAGGCTTTTGGATTATTGCATAAAACAAGCTCTGTGGCCAGCAAAAGTTTAAGATTATCGCATGTTTTTACATGTAAACACAAAGAGGCTGTTGAAGCTGATTAGGCAAGGCAAGGCAAGTGTATTTATATAGCACATTTCATATACAATGGTCATTCAAAATGCTTTACATAAAAGAAGAGAAAATAATAATAAAAAAAAAAATCACAACAATAAAACAAGGAATTTAAAAACTTTGAAAATGATTTAAAAATTGATTTAAGAGGTTTAAAATGAATTTAAAACAGTTAAGAATAGAAAATGATTATACATCAAATATAGTGCAATCAGTTCGGACATTGCACAGTGCTCATTCAGTAAATGCACAGCTAAACAGATGAGTTTTGAGTCTGCATTTAAATGTGACTAATGTTTTAGCACATCTGATCTCTTCTGGAAGCTGATTCCAACTGCGGGCGGCATAATAACTAAAAGCGGACTCCCCTTGTTCTGTGTGAACCCTTGGTATTTCTAACTGACTCGATCCTAATGATCTGAGTGGTCTGTTAGGTTTATAGTCAGTGAACATATCTGCTATGTATTTAGGTCCTAGGCCATTGAGTGATTTATAAACGAGTAAAAGTACTTTAAAATCAATCCTAAATATAACTGGAAGCCAGTGTAAGGACCTGAGGACTGGTGTGATTAGTGAGTAAATGAGTTAGCAACAACTTCTGCAGTCCCATCTACGTTGCCACATGTTTGCCTTTTTTAAGAGACATAAAAGCTTAAAAAAATCATGAGTTGGATATTACTGATGTAGAGTAAAATATCTTGAGTGCAAACACAGAACTTATTTCAGGCCAAAAACCCACTGACTTTGGGACAATTAAACCGTAAGTTGAAAAATACTTGCTAAATTTTTTAGGTTTAAGACTCATTGTGTAACTCATCCCACACATACATCAATGATTCCTCAGGACAAAGGTTTTTGGTATGTGGCCAAGCAAAGCGTGAGAACATGCCAGCTACAGTTCATGCTATTTATAACCACAGATAAAGCATTATTGTGTTTTTGTCCCCTGACTTTAAAACTGCGATAATAGCCTTTATCATAATACTTCCTCTGTTATGAAATGCCTTCTTTATCTCCTTTGACCCCACATTTCATCCTCTGCTAAATAAAGCATTAAAGGAAGTTCATCCACAAAGGAATGCCGTCATCATTTGCTCATTCTCATATCGTTCACGCTTCTGCATATTCAGAGTTACATTCGGTCACACAATGCATGAGATTCAGCCTTCATGTCAAATGTGCAATAATGATTCTTCATGCACCAAGTTTAAATTTAGAAGAAAGAAAATCATATTGGTCTGGAATAGTGATGCACGTATATGAAAAATGAATGAAAATTCTTGACCAAAATTGTAAATTCAGGTTGTACTTGGGCAAAACTGAAAATGAATTTTATTTAATAGCCAATTAATTTGTCAAATAAAAACTAAGCTGTACAAACATTTAAATTGCACTTTTTTTTGCAACTTTTTAATAACAGAATTATGTTTCTACTCCACTTTGTTGTTGAAATTTAAATGGTGGCTATAATATATTTTTCAAACATGCATTAAATAATTAAGACAACCGGTTAAGTAAAAAAAATATAATGAATATGTAATAATAGTGCATGTATTTGCCAAAATGCTCCTCTCCTGAGTTTTTTTTTTAGCTAACTATGTCTTTCTTGAGATACATGACCTATTGTTTACAAGCTGTTTTACTGACGTCTTTCCACGGTTGCAACACTGATTGAGCGATTACATGAGACATGATACATTTCAGTAAGTTGTTCTGTTTCTTTCAACATACTTTCTGATGTTCATTCATGCTTATTTTGTGCTGTAACTAGTAATAAACTGTAAGAGATGATTGCTTGAACTGAGGTGCTACAGCAATCTGTGATTTAGTTCATGCATTAACCGTAAACAGCATTGACTAAAATATTGATATTGAGGTTTAAGAATCCATATCAGTTTTGTTATTGTTAAATCAGTGCATTCAACATTGTTTGCATGAAATCGACTGACACGGAGAAACACTAATGAAATATAGCTGTTTCGGTCAATGATTTTGGCCCTCCAAAACTATTTCAGCCAAAACCAAAAATGACTGTTTTGGCTGAATTTTTGGTTGCTGACATTTTGATGCATCACTAGTTTTGCAACATGAAAATGAATGTTGTTTTTAAACTCGTGCATAATTTACCTTATACAAAAATGGCAGACACCACCCTGCCTGTATTGCTGCTATAGATATGAGAAGAATTGCATATAAAAACTGTACATGCATGTGTGAAGCAGCGAGCTGCAGGTGTTGTGGTGGGCCGGTACACAAGCTCTTGAGCGTTTTAAAAGAGAAATAAGGTGATCTCTAACCAGGTCAATGTAAGACACAGCGAGAGTCTCTCGTCCTGTCAGAACCTGTTCGAGAGCACTCTTCAACTCGCCCATTATTTTTAAGTGAGGCCTTTTGAAAGAGCACAAATAGTACCGGTGAACAATGGATGACCAATTTCCCCCTCGCCACACATTTGCGTGTGTCACATGCGCTCTGAAATATTGCCTCCGGGGACAGCTGGATATGCAGCATGTGCGTCCTTTGTTTATTTTACACTAATTTTCCAACATCAATTCACATGCATTGTTAATTTATGTTTTGTTCACTCAAAAGGTAATATGAAAAAAGTCAAAAACCTAATTTTTATGACATACTTTTGCTTTTCCCCCAGGTACACGCTTAGCACCTCCAACTCGGCCATTGCTGCCCTCCTTTGTGCACTTTATCCTCATTTTCCTGCTCACAGCACAGACAACAGGTAGACAACAGCTGCTAACACACACATCACAGTGAGCAAATATGGCTGTATTGTCTTCGCTTCTGAGGAAAACCACTTTCATTTTTACTGTAAATGAGACTTGTTTACCCAGAATCGTGAATGTGTGTGTGTATTAAATGCTCGTATCTACATGGTGTCAAAGTGTCCTGTTATACACTGGGCCCAAAAAGTATTCGCACACTTGAGTCACACTTAAAAACATGTGAATGACGTCGCATTAGATAAGAAGATATCAAACCAAGTGCCATTTGTTTTAAAGAAAGAGCACAAACACAGTTTTCAGATGAAACATTTCACAAAACTATTTTCAGTTTGAAATGACAAAACAATACATCTAGTCATTTTTGAAGTGTTTTAAGCATAAATGTGCAATACTTTCTGTGGAGACTGTATTTAGTCTACTAAACGAACTACTACTAAAAAAGAATAGAGATGAGAGTAAACACTTGACAGTAATTGAAACACATATTCCAGAGTTTCTAACTACAACTGATTGTCTGTCAGGCTGGTGTATGGGATTGAGTTTAAGGCTGGAAGTATAAATCATCATTTTTTGTTTCTACTAAACATATGTTCTTGTTCCTCTTTGCAGGTATCACCTCCAGGCGTTGCGCCACCTGGCTGTGCTCGCAGCAGAACCGCGTCTGCTGGTGCCTGTAGATGTGGACACCCTCAAACCCTGCTACGCTCTGCTAGATGTCACCTACAAGGTATGTGCTGCACGTGCCTCACGCCTTGATGTGGTCTTTCAAAGCATACATTTACTCACATTCAATGAAACCCAGTGTTATTTTAGTATTAAGTATGTACTATTATGGTGTTTATAAAATATTTGAATTAGCTTTTATTTTTATATTTTCATTTCTCATGTTAACTTCAGTTTAAGTTGTGTGCTTTTGTCATTTAAAAAAAATATATATTTTAAACATTTCTATTTAGCTTTATTTTAGTTTTAATAATTTGAATACTTCAACTTATTTTATTTCAATTAGTTGTCAAGGTAAGATTTCTATTTTTTTAATCTTATTTAGGTTTAAGTTTTTAATCTAATGTTTACATTTTATTTTACTTCAATTAACAAATATTGTGTTAATAGGTTTAGTTTTCATTTTAGTTAACAATAACAACACTGGTTACCAACATTAAATCAAAATAGACCATTTTTACTTTTTTAATTCACATGTTCTGGAGATTTTTTTTTGTAATTGTTCACTGAAATGCAAAAAATGCAACTTGCTGTGTCTCTAAAAAATGCTATTTTAGCATTATTTAAATACTAATATATATATTTGGAATTTGCTTTGATTTTTGTAATTTCAATTTTCATCTTAATTAATTTTTTTAGTAATTTTGTTATGTGCTTTTTGTCATTTTATTCATTTTTAACATGTTTTTTTTAGATATTCATTTATTTTTATTTCATGTTGCCTTGACACTTAACTGAATTGAAAAGTTTAACTTTTTCACCTAATATGTATTTTTCATTTTATTTCATGTTTAGTTCAATTAAAAAATGTTTTAGTTTTAGCTAACAACAATAACCCTGCTCTGAAATGACTTTCCCTCTCAGATGGGGTGTGTGATAGAAAATAATGTTAACCAATAGCCAATCATTTGTTTTAGACTATAGTTGTAGGTAATTTAGCTTTTCTTTGTTGTGAAATGCACTGATATAATGATGGTTAAAATTAAAGGTTGTGTCAATATTAGAAAATAAGAATATATTTTAAAAATGCAACTTGAGTCACAATTGGGATAAGTAGTGATGCTCTTAAGGATGAACTTGACCTTTCGACCTCCATGTCCGGGTCAAAAGCTTCCTCAAAAGTGCACTGCAAAATGATTTCACATCAGACTGAAACTTTTCATGATCCCTTTTCAGTTCTTGACTCAAATCACATTTCTTCCCTTATTTCACTTGCTGAATGCCATTTGTTGTTGAAGACTGTAATTAGCACATAGCTCCACATCCCAACATCTATCCGTCCTGTTGTGTGTGAGGCCATTAGGCCACATCAAAGAGATTCTTAGGTGATAAACACGGCGAAGGACTGCTGAAGGTTGACCGTGACGTCTGACCATGTTTCCCCTGCTGCTTTGAGGACTCAGCTTTTCAATTAAATGACGCCAGCCAAAGGAAGGGAACCAGCTGTTCACAGCAATTACAAAGACGTCTTTGTTCACGCAGGCGTAGAGTCACGCATAGTGAACGTATACATTGTGATGCAAGGCGTTAGGTTTCTAATCTGTTTGTGCATGCATGTGGTATGTGTTTAATAGGAGACGCAGTGGTACGAAGAGACGACCGTGGAGTTGATGGCTCCCACTATGCTGCCTGAACTTAACCTTCTGAAACGGGTAATAAATTAAACCACTTCCAAGTACAGCTCATACAAACTCCCTAAATCTGACATTATAGTTTTTTTTTTCTTTGCATCCAGATTAAGGTGAAAGGTCCAAGATATTGGGAGCTGAACATTGACATCAGTAAAGGAACCCAACATCTGCAGTAAGTCTGCATGTATATTAAGCAAGGTGGAATCAAACTAAACGACTATCTAGTATTTTAAGGCCTCATAGCCATGCTCCAGATGTGAATGCTTTTTCAGTAGGTGCCCAGCAATGTTATGCCTTAATGTTATGTAACTTCTTTTTGCAATCTAAGAGAGCACCACACGTGTTCTTCAATATAAGACAATCCCAGAAAGCACTGAGACAAGCTCAGTAAAAAAAATTTCGTTTATTTTGTTCAGTACTGAAGTATCAGTGTACACAGAATTTTTGCATACTATATACACACATAACCGTTCACAATTCTGGGGTCAGTAAGACTTAAATTAAGAATGCATAGAAATGTTATTAGAATTTAAAACTTTTATTTAGCAAGGATATAGAATTACACAAGAGTCACACAAAACTTACCTTTATTTATTAAAAGGAGAAGAATTGCCTTTGGGATTTTTATGAAGTTTTATTAATTTTATTTGGGATTTATTAATTATTAAGTCAGTCTTCCTTGACTGTAAAATCTATTTTATTACAGTGCCCTGCTTTAAATTATACTAGGAAAGGTTTTTTTTTTTTTTTTACTCAAAGGACATTAATAAATTATTTTTTAGAAAAACTTCTCCTGGGAAACTGTTAGAATTTATCAAATATCAGTTTGAAAGATTGTATGTACTGTTATTTATTTATTTTACAATTTCTTTTATTTTGTTTGTAAATAATTATTGTTTAATTATTATATACAATTCCTTGAAGTGTTGTTATCAAGACTATTTTACATTTTATTACTCGCGAGTTTTCCATTAATATAGCCTTTGATGCTGATATGGTACAATGATAAATAAATGATAAATAAACATGTAGTGATAAATAATAATTCAGCAAGGAGGCATTAAATTGACCAAAAGTGACAGTAAAGACATTTATAATGTTATAAACCTTTTCTATTTTAAATAAATGCTTTTCTTTTAAGCTTTTTATTCATCAAAGAATCCTGAAAAAAAAAATGCAAAAACTGTTAAGCTTGTTTAATATTAAAAATAATAAGCAGCACAGCACCATTTTTAGAAATCAGAAATGTTTCTTGAGCAGCAAATCAGCATATTAGAACGATTTCTGAAGGATCATGTGACACTGAAGACTGGAGTTATGATGCTGAAAATGCAGATTTTCTTCCCAGAAATAAATTTTATTTTAAAACTTATTCAAATAGAAAACATTTATTTTAAATTGTAAAAATATTTTATAATTTTAGTTTTTGCTGTATTTCTGATCAAATATATGCAGCCTCAGTGAGCAATAGAGACTTCTTTTGAAAATATGAAACAAATGTACCAAACCCAAACTTTTTAACAATAGTGTAGTTTTATGCTTAATGCTGACCTCTTAAAATAATCAATGTGAGTGCTGTTTATGAAGCACACAGAGTTGCTGCCCATAGAGTGTTCCAAATCACTCACTTAATAGGTTCCATGTTTTGTTTGTATGCTTCTTTAGAAGGCAGCTCACTAGGTTTTGGAACGGAGCTCAAGTTAATTGTGATCAAGAATTTTAAGTACATTCTGCTTTCTAGATCCATCCTATCCAAAGACGGCGTTCTGTATGTGAAGTTGCGCGCCGGACAGCTGCCCTACAAGGATGACCCTCAAGGCTGGAAGAGCTTACTGGCCCCCAACCTCAACAACAGAAGTGCTGAAGTGCGCACTTTTAAGGTCGGTCTGTGTGCACACTAAATATTACCAACAGTCTACTGACCACAAACTGGTTTGGCCGACATCTGTCAGTATTTACTGTGTCATATGTCTGTTTGTATATAATTCAAGCATTAATCCACTCATGCAAATACAGAGGATAAAGGTGTAAAGATATTTCCGGATGTTTGCTGAGGTCTTGTGTTCCTAATTGGATTAAAGCAGCATAATGTGTTCTTTTGAAACTGCTGCAAAGAATGCTTTTCATGTCAATTAACTATTTTTCCCTTCCATCCCACTTGTTCGTCTCCTACGCAGCCCGAGGCCATCTCAACCTTCACCTCTGACGTGGCTCTGGTCTCCTTCGCCGAGTACTTCTGCAGGGCCTCGGAAAACATGAAGCATGTGAGACCAAAAACATGTTGTTTTAAGGCAAAGCGCTTGGTTTGGGTAATAGGAAAAAAGCATTCATGTACAGAGGCAAAGTTTTGTCCATGTGCATTCGTAAGGAAAGTGACGTGGATACTAAATAGTTGTCAGAGACAAAATTTTGCTCTACTGAGATGACTTGATCTTTTAAAAACTGTTTGGGTGAGGTGAAAGCCCTCAGTCTACACACTGCAGGGTGCAATTGTTTAGTGATTAATGTTTTGTTCTTAAACATCTAAGACAGAGGAAAAAAGAAAAGCCTTTGGTTTTTATGTTTATGGATCGTTAGAGGATTATGCTGGGTCATTTTCATCTTAAAGGAATGATCTGGGGTCTGTTAAGTTATTTTTTATTTCCAAAATTTGTTTTGTGTTCTTGGAAAAAAAGTATTTAGGCCTCCCTCAGTTTGCAAAAGTAAAAAGTAAGCAGGTGTACAGTAATAAGGGATGCAAACATGTCGCTTTTTGGGGAAAATGTCTTTTTTGCATCCAAAGTAAGTCCTAGTTTCAGTGCGGCATTGCATTCTTTTGTAATGAGAATCGTTTATAGATCTGTTGTAAACAAAGGTTTTTAGGGCTCCCTGTGGTTCTCCATCAAAATAAAAGCTCGATGGTGTTATTTTTGAAAGCAAAGAAATTAAGACTTAATATCCATTAATATCCATGAATATTAGTTAGCTCTGTAAAGTTATAGTAAAATTATGAAATAATAATTATTCAAAGAGCTAGTAGTAGTAGTAGTAGTTATAGTGTCTTAATTAGTTATAATTATTAAATACTCTTATATTTTACAGTACAATAGTATTATAACAGTAGTAATACATTTCTTTATTGGTTTAAGTTTTGCAATTTAATAAAAGAAAAACATAAAATAGTATAAAATAATGTTAATTATAATAATATAATTATTATTTGTGGTAGTGTCATTATTAAATACTCGATTATTTTATTTTACAGTACAGTAGTATTATTACTGTAGTAATATTTCTTTATTGGTTTCATTTTTTTTTTTTTTACAATTTAAAAAAATAATATATAATATAATTATTATTATTAAAGGGGTCATATGATGTTGCTAAAAAGAACATTATTTTGTGTATTTGGTGTAATGAAATTACACCAAATAATGTTTATGCGGTTTAAGGTTAAAAAAACACATTATTTTCCACATACTGTACATTATTGTTTCTCCTCTATGCCCCGCCTTTCTGAAACGTGTCGATTTTTACAAAGCTCATCGATCTGAAAAGCGAGGTGTGCTCTGATTGGCCAGCTATCCAGTGCATTGTGATTGGCCGAATACCTCAAGCGTGTGACGGAAATGTTACGCCCCTACCATACTGTGATGCCTTGTCCCGGCCGGAGCGACGAGACAAAAACATTAAAACCCATTATAAACGAGGCATTTGTTGCATCCAGTGGGGACATAATTACGGATTATAATGACTTATACTGTCTCTTTACGCGTTGCGTTGCATCGCGCCGCGTAAACATAAAAACATGTCTGCATTTGTGATCGGAGAAATGACAAACAACAAGCGCTACTCTACACTGCTCAAAACTCGCGTTTGAATCATCAGTGGCAAATTCTTTAAATATAAAAAAACGTACTTACAGTCTGTGAGTCAGAACAGCCGGCATTGTAGTCTACTCTACCAGGATCAGGAAACAGTCCTCCATAAAATGTGCTGCACACATCTGAATATTTGGGTTGAACTGTTCTGGAACAGTGTTGTAAATACAACTTAACCATTGATTTCTAGTCGTGTCCTCTTTTGGAAGACCAAACAAAGTAGTTTCGCTTTCACAACGAAACACAGCGTCACACGCGGCAGCGGCCTAGAGTGAAGAACGGCCGGCGGGCTGAGTGAGAGGAGGCCGGTGAGCTTGAGAACGGAGCGGGCGTGTGGCAACCACATGTGACGACCCCGGGCTGGACTCTGCTTCGTCCACGGTGAAAGCCGATCCAGCGATCCACAGCGCAAAGTTGTTTTATTTCCTCAGCAACCAGCACGGATCAGCTCCAGG